CCCCTTTTCGTTCAGCGGAACCTCAATCTCCTGAAGCAAAAAACAATACAATCCATTCTAAAGCCCGAAATGTGATAGAGCGGACAAATGGGGGTCAATAATAAATGCATGTTGCGCGTTGTATAATATTGGTTTACACTATAAAGTAGACTGGGAGGAAGATCCGACAATCTCGCAGGAAGTTGCAAGTCCAAATGTAACCGAGAATGATAACACCGTAGCCTCTGATATAAGATATAATGTAATGCAATGTTTAAATGAATAAAATAATCTTTTAGTTGAATAAAGTATTTCATTTTAAATTCAATTTTATTAAAAGTAAACAACACATTTATATCTTTTTAGCGTTCTTCATGTTTATTCATTTTTAGGTATGAAATCAACCTTTTTTATTTCAACTTTTCATTCAGTTTTCCTTAAAACTAATATATCACATCGAAGGCTGAATAAAAGGTCGTCCTATCTCGGCAGCCAGTTCGAAAACGCCATATCTCAGAAAACTTCCTAATATCACTCTATTTCAGAATTTGATTGAAGAACGCCCTATTTCAGAATTCGAATCAAAAACGGCCTATCCCAATATATTTGCATATGAGATATGGCATTTTTCAATCAAATTCTGAGATAGGGCTTTATTGAAAACTTTTCTGAGATACGGCGTTTTCTAACCGACTGCCGAGATAGGTCGATCTCCCACTCAGCCGTCGATAAAGTATACAAAATATATGTACCTAATTCTCTTTGGATTTAATTAAAAATACTATATCGCAACAAAAAAAACATAAATCACTTTTCTTAAAACTAAAAAAAAATAACACAGTTCATTCAACTGATCTTAATAGTAAAAAATATAGGTACAAATAAAGGTAAAAAGCCTCAACTTAAATTGGAGATCTGTTTTTCTAAGAGCTCCAGTTTTTTTTTGTTTAATTTTCTTGTTCAAATGCTGCTCTTCAACAAGCATCTGATGTTCTTTTTTTTCAATTCATGCGCTTCCTTAAATATTTTTAATTTTTCCCTCTTCAAATCCCGTATATCTTTTAAGAGATCATTTCTTCTGGACAGCTTTCTTTCAATTTTGTCCAACTTATTAACAACCTCACCCTGGGTTCCTGTTTGTTGCTGGAGGAGGTCTAATCTGATATCGTGCGCCCTCTTTCTCCTGGGTAGTTGTACTGCTACAAGAGGCGTCACCGTTTCTTGCTGTGGTTGCTCAGTCTCTACCTCTAAAATTGTATTAATTTCCTCAATGTAGGCAATATTTTCAGTGTCCTGAGGCTGTTGGGGTAAAATCGCTCCGAATGTGCGACCTGGCGGATCGACCGAAGTGCCCATTTGCAGAAAGTCCGCTGCGGCCTGCTCCAGCGCGGACAAACTTATTTCTTCAGATGGTCCGCCGCCGGTGATGGATATATTTCTCCTATTATGTGCCATTTTCTTTTTCAGCTTGGCTTTAAAATGTATCATACCCTCTGCCATTCTTCGGATGTACGAGTTGGCGGTCCGTAACTATTTAATTTAGATGAAATTTCCTTCCAAACATGTTCAGTATTTGCTTTTGTCTCGCCAAAAGCGCGTACACCACGAGCAATCGAAGGATTTTGCTCCATTTGTTGCACCAAAATCTCAAACTGTTGTTTTGTAGTTATTTTCACCATCTTTTCTGCAAAAGCAAAATACATTGCAGAACTTTAGTAACGTTAAAACTGCTAAAAATTAAAATATTTTACTCACTTTTAAATATTCGCTTGTAAAAACGCTCTTCTAACCTCCACAGCAACCACAAAAATGCAGTTGCTGGTATACACATTTTGTGACAACTTCAGTTGACAGTTGAGAGTTGCCAGAGGCCATCTATAATATCGTTTTGGCAACTGCCAACTCAACTGAAGTTCGGTTGATATCGATAATCGACCCATTAATTTGTTTTAATTATTTTTATTTGAATAAATNGAAAAATCGCCTTGTACCACCGATAAATCCTTACATTTGGTAAATAATAGGTGCAATCCCGTATTCCTCGGACTCGGACTAGTAAAACTGTCAAAAAATAAAAATTCGCTCAGAGCGAGAGAGTAACATTGAAAAGTACGGGATCGCTTTCTA